GGAGACGTTGGTGGACAGCGGCTGAACATGAGCCAGCAGTGCCCAGGTGGCCAAGAAGGCCAACACCATCCTGGCTTGTACCAGCACTGGTGTGGGCAGCAGCAGCAGGGAAGTGATTGTGCCCCTGTGCTGGGCACTGGTGAGGCTGCCCCTCGAATCCTGTGTTCAGTTTTGGACCCCTCACTCCCAGCAGGACATTGAGGGGCTGGAGCGTGGCCAGAGAAGGGCAACGGAGCTGGGGAGGGATCTGGAGCACCCGAATGATGGGGAGCAGCTGAGGGAGCTGCTCTGGGTTCAACTGGAGAAGAGGAGGTGAGGGGAGACCTTATCCCCTCTGCAGCTTCTGAAAGGAGGGGGTAGTGAGGGGGGAGTTGGTCTGTTCTCTCTGGTAGCTGTGATAGGACAAGAGGAAATGGCCTCAAGTTGTGCCAGGGGAGGGTTAGATTGGATATCAGGAAAAATTTATTTACTGTTGTCAGGCCCTGGAAGGGGCTGCCCAGGGCAGTGGTGGAGTCCTCATCCCTGGAGGTGTTTGAAAGACGAGATGTCGTGCTTAGGGACATGGTCTAGTGGTGGACTTAGGGCTTGTTCGATGGTTGGACTCAATGATCTTAAAGGTCTTCTCCAACTAAAACCATTCTGTGATTTTATGATTCACTTGTAGATTAAAAAAGCAAGTTAACAAGTAAAAGAATTATTACATTAATAATGTAATAAAGCCTGCCATGTTAGCCTAACAATAAATATGAGTCAATCAATCCCTAATTCTCCTGTGAATTTTAGACTTTCTGGTTGAACTGGAGTCCATAATCAAGAAATTTTTTAGGAAAACGTAGGTAGGAAAGTATGATTTATTTTCTTTATTAGGCTTTTCTTTCATGACTTAACTGTTGCTTTTTTATGTTCCTTCTCCCCACTACTTCTAGATTCAGATAACTTTTATAACTTTCTTGGCCTTTCAATTTGTCAGCTTCCTTTCTAAAGCACAGGATGGCCACATTTGTACAAAAATGTCATCATAATGCTTGCTACATGGGAGGCTGCTGCAATTAACACAAGAAAATCTGATTTCCCACTTACATATCCAGTAGCTGCACTAACTTGCTCAGACATGGCAACATGGAGGGAATTGTGGCTCAGATTAAATCATGACTGCAAAGTCTTTTCATAATCCTGTTTTTATGGGATACAGATCTCAGTATCTGAGTTGTATTTGTTGCTTACTTGTATTTTTGCTTCATTGATGCCAAATACGTAACTGTGTTTTCTGGTGTTTTGTTGTGCTGCCTCCTGCTTTCTGTAGTCCAGGTGTCCTTGTGGTCTGACATCTGCTTTTTTTGTCTCTGTATTCTGAAAAATCATAGTGTTACGTCTCAAAAATGTCAGTTCACATGTGTTGAAATGACTGTTTCAGAAAGATTTGTGCAGACTAATCGGTGCTTCCTCAAGAATGGTCCTTTATCTTTCAGACTTTGATCAGCAGTATGCTCTTAGTCATAATTCAGCATTTGAGCTACTGCTCCATCAACCTGAGTGAAACAGTGTACACTTACAGATTATTGTAGTGTAGCCGTATTTTTTTTCAAAACTGGGGAGGTATTAGCTCCTGATGTGATATCCAGTTCATATTTTAAGTCTTTTGTCTTAAAGGCTTTAAAGACTTGCTTTTTCATAGAAAGATAAAGCTGAAATTTTAACCGGTAGTTTCAGGACTGAAAGAAGATTTTCTGAAATGGCCTGCCCTCATTTGTACACCAGAAGTGATTTTTTTTCCCTAGCTTCCTTTATACAAGTTATTGTCTGCTTCTATTCTTGCCATCTCTTCTTTAAAATGTGTAATGTAAAAAAATGTTGTATGATCTCATTTGAGAAACTTTCTGAGTGTCCATTTTATAGTCTTTATCAGGCAAGTTTAGTAGAAAGAAGACATGTAGGTGAGTCATACCTAACACTAAATTTCAAGGTGAGACCCAGAACATTCTCAGCTGATACCGCATTTCTTTCTCTGTCACTTTCCTATCACAAACTAGTATATTATTTTTGCTTCTACTGCCCCTTCGTGTTGAGTTGTCCATGTAGATTTTTTTCCTGAGATTTTACAGATACCTTAGAAACTGCCTAAAACTGGGGTTAGCCCAAAAGCTACAAAATAAAAGGTTTCGTGTCAGAGCTACAGACTTCAATGCTGAGAGATAACGTAGCAAGATGTGAGTGGCTCACTTTTTTCTGTTTGTTGTGGTTTTTTTCTCTCCTTTTTTTTTTCCCTCCTGAGGTTTAAGTGCATGCCCAGACAATTGGTGCCTTTCAGGTGTCTGCAGTGTCACTGCGGCTTTACAGGGTGTTGATCAGGTTTGAGGCTTCTATAATCTTTAACGTGCAAAATAACCTTCCGAGGTGTTAGATTTACTCTTTAGAGTTTGGTTTAGGGAAAAATCCCAGTTGTAATCACGTTCCATAACTCTGTAATCAGAGTTAGAGTTGCAGTCTTCTATCAGGCTGTTATGCCTGCTGATATCAACAGATTACACAAAGATGAGAGATAAAATCTTAAAATTAGTCCACGTGGCCTGAGACACTTGTCTGGACTGAAACAGACCCTCCTACGCTTGCTGCACACTATCTGCAGAGGTTTTAACTCTTGTCTTAAAAGTTATGATAACAAAAAAAACCTTTATTTTCTATTGGTGCTTCCTATTGATGCCCTCACTTGCTATGACTTTGGGAAGGTCAGCTTCCCAAGTTTTAGATTTCACTGGACTTTTTCAACAGTGGAGATACTTTCAAAAGTCAAGGTACTTGATTTCAGTGGAAAAAAACTGTCAAGATAACTTCAGAGTTATTGTTGATGTCCTCGTGTTGATTTGCCTCTCAGGTCCTGTTCCTTTTTGGCTAACGAGAATTTAAACTTTTCTGCAGTCCTTTTCTTCAAAATAAATAAATAAAAATCTTTTGTGAAGGTCCAGGGGGTGAGGGAAGGGAGTTTTGCTTTCCTTCCCATCACAGTGCCATTGCAGTCCTCGCTTTCTCATCCAGGCTGCATCTGCTGCCTGTTTGAAGAGATGCAGTTGCATTGTAGTGATTTTTGGGACACGGCTGCTAACTTTTGTGGACCAGAGGCATCAGACAGCTCCTTAGCACTGCATACAACTGGACGAAGGGGAAGAAAATAGGGGACATGACATTTCTTGCCTGTTTTAAACCATGGTTTTGCAAGTTAGCAGGAATTTGAAGAAGAGGGATTATCTCCTGGTTCAGTTGGTTCTGCTGGACACCACTGCTCCCCGCCGTCATCTACGCTTTGCTTTCTGCGTTCCTGTCGGAACAGAAGCACTGTTCAGACTCGTTCTGCTGCAGATTGGCATTAACTTGCCCCCATCCCCATCTGGCTGCTGAATTTTTGACTGTCAGCAGAGTGAGGAGTTGTCTTGTAGGTGGGAAGACCCATGGAAAGTCTGGCCATGGATCACACTTTATACCGGACCCTGCTTTATCAAGTGTTTTTTCTGAAATTGTACCCTCTTTTTGTAATTACTCATGCTCACCTTTAGTACTAAACACGTTTGTACGCTTTGTTTTTAAATCTGTATTTGTTTGCAGGTGCTTGTTACAATCTATGCAGACTACATTGCACCTCTGTTTGATAAATTCATTCCGCTTCCTGAGGGAGAGCTCAAGCAACAAATTGAATCAATGGCAAAGAGTATTGATTTCCCATTGACTAAGGTGTATGTTGTTGAAGGTGAGATTCTTTTTTAATAAAAAGACACTGTAATTTTGAATGTATGGATTTTTAGCTTTGACTGTGGATGCTGCAGTAGGGCAGTTACTTATATTCCTCAGATGTTGTGGTACTTGTCAGTGTTTGTACAGTTGGTAAAAGTGAAGCTGAATGTACAGCCTTTACTCAGCATCTCATTGAAAGCAGTCTCAGCTCTGTGGAATGGAAATACATAGCACAGTCAGAAATGGAAGCAGCCATCAAAATTCTAATTTTAGAA